AAAAAAAGCGGTTAGACTTTAGACAATAAGCCATTGATTAAGTTGAGGGGAACCAGTAGAACCAGGAGAAGCAGGCCCAACCAAGTATAGGGGCTGCACACAGAGTGAAGGAGAAGGGTGAGCAAGACTGTCACGGTGGGCCTCTTGTCCTGGAAGAAAGGTACGCTTGAAACTGCTGTAGTTCACGTGTGGGATCCGGAAGACCACTTCCAGGCAAGCCTATGGCCTATTCACATAGTCAGAACTTTATGAGTGGCATCCTCCTCCAGATTTGCCTGAGACGTCAACATGACTTCATGAATAATTGATGTCCAAGTATCTGCAACCTTAACTACTCCAAATACAAGCACTACTTAGAATCATGACTATAGTAACCGAATGTAAGAGAGTTGTTCTGAACATTGGGGTATAGCTGCTGGATGAGTCAAGAACTAGTGTATAGAAAGGGGTAGTTCGAGAAACTGCAGTAAATAGTGAAATCTTATAAAATCAATATTCAAATCAGTATAAAAAAATGTTCAGATGGGGCCTGGGAAAACAGCTCAGTTAGTAGATAGCTTACCATAGAAGGATCAGGACCCAGGTGTGGAGCCTCAGAACCTACATAAAACCTGGGCGAAAAAGATAGTGTCTGTCTGTAACCGCAGTGCAACCTCAGAGGAGGGATGGAGTGGGGAGGGTCCTGAAGCTCACCAGCCGAAACCAAGTCAGTGGGTCCCCAGGTAGGAAAGCAGGAAAGTGAAGAACAGCTGAGAAAGACGGCTAATATTGACCTCTGCCTTCCACACACATGTGCTGGAAGGTACACCTCCATCCCAACACACAGGACCCAGCCACATATCACCCCCCACACACAGCACACACACACACACACACACACACACACACACACACACACACACGGATGGAAGAATACTAAAGTACCAGCAATGATGCTTCTCTTTAGCTTTTGTCTATGTTTTCAAGAGCTTTCTTATCCTGCTTATATAATGACTTTTTAATCTAAAGAAGCCTGGCAGCAAAATGTGTGTCCTGATCAAGGCAGAGACAGAAAAGGCCCTAAATAAATGATGACCCTGTTTGTGTGTTTGTTTCTGGCACTGTGGCTTCGCTTTTCTTCCTGGTCGTGTTTCTGTCTGTGTGGTATATTCATTTCACTTGGTAAGGCTGCCTTCAGCCTCCTCTCTGGGCCAACACTTCCCCCTTATTCCCTGGATCTGTGGGAGGCATTGTGATGGCTGCTCACTCATTTGGCTGTGCCTGGGTCTGGTGTCTGGGTAGTGATTCACGTTTGTTCTGAAGCTGTCCATCTGTGCTGGATGCTTTGAAACAGTGCCCCGGCAAATCTGAAAGGCCATGTGTCTCGCTGAGACTCCGTCTTTGCAATAGAGACCTCTTCCCTGGCTTCTTCTGAATTCCAGCAAGTTCTCTTTTGACTTTAGACAGCGGAACGAAACAAGAAAAGAAAACCAAAGAGGAAAGAGTTTCTGTTGGGAGGAATCTAGTTCCGGGTCACCGACCAGATGTGCTTAGTAAGTTTGGCAGAGCATCCTCAGGCCCTCACTTTCCTGCTAGTGTTTTTGGGGACTTGGCCTCTACACAGCATGGATGCTGATAGTGGGAAAGAAGATAGATTCGCCCTAATAGAAACCTCATGGGACATGCTCTAAGAGTTGGTGGGCATACTAGCTGCCAAATGCTGGTGCCAGTACAATAGTCATTGGGACCACACTGACCACAAAGCTCAATTTGGAGACTACCTGGCATCCCAAACAAAACGCTTTGGTCTGGCCCATACTGGAGCCTCTAGGGCAACTGGATATCCACTCTGTTCTGCGGGTTTATTATCGAAAGACTGTGAAGCTGTACACCAAACGAATAACAATACAATTGCACATGGAATTTAAAAGTTCACTCTCAGGCTCATCATCACTGACTTGGCCAGTTTCACCTTTTAAGAACCTGTCCTCTTTGCCCTTAAGAGGAGTTCAGAGGGCTGGAGAGATAGCTCAGTGGTTAAGCACACCAGCTGCTCTTTCGGAGGACCTAGCACCCACCTGATAGTTTACAGCCATCTGTAACTTCACTCCCAAGGGACCCTGCGCTCTCTTCTGGCCTCCAGGGGCACTAGGCATACACATGGTACAAGACAGAAGAATGGGCCATACATGTAAAATAATGGCTTTATTTTAAATAAATGTGTTTCTAAAGAAGGTCTCAGAGACAGTATCAGGACATACAGGTCGTGCGGGATTTGGGGGCGGGCAGCCAAGGATCCTGCTCCACAAAGGAACTGTGCAGTGACTCAACAGCTGGCAGAGTGCTCACCCAACCAAGTTTGCAACGTGCTTCATTTTTATTTTCACTGGTTACAAAGCCAGGCCGGTTGGCAAGAAAGCAAGGGCAAGGTACCACCCACCTGCCTGCAGCCTGGGAAAGTTGCCCGTCCCACACCACTGGGCTTCTGAGAAGGGCCATCTGTGGAGTTTTGTAAGCACTGGTACAAACTGTCACTGGTCACTGTGTACATACTGGTCACTGTGGCTCCTGCTCAGCCTTTCCCCAGGGATCCTCCCGCGTGGCTTGCTCTCAGAGCTTGCGTGGAGTCTGAAAGCAGCTTTGATCCACCGTCTCTGTGGTGGCATTTCCCTCCTGCATTCTGCCATTGTTCCTCCTGCTCCAAGTCAAGCTACGGCTTCAAGGCAATCTGCTGCCTCCTTCCTGCTTACTCACAATAGCACTCGGAGTCTCCTGAGGATCATTCGAGAATGGTCGTAGACTGATTCTTACAGTCCAACTACAACTTTGGGTAGAAAAGTTATCCAGCCGTTCTGAACTAATGACGAGAGAAGCCCGAGAAGCCCAAGGCTGTAAAGAACCGGAGTGAGAAAACGTGGCTTCCATCTGGCAACCAGAGCGGCTGGCCCTCCTCTGTGGTCTTCATGTGGCTTCAGTGGCCCATCATCAAAAATGGTTCAAAAAATATGAAACGGAAAAGTCTAGAAATAAACAATTCATGAGTTGTAGATAAATTTTGTTACACTATTTCTTATTTAATAAATTCTTGTGTGTGGTGTATGTGTGTACGTGCGCATATAAACACATATGCACTCACGCTTGTGCAGGACAGAGGGCCACATTAGACGTCTTCCTTAATAACTTTTCACCGTGCTTTTTGACATAGGCTCTACCAGCAAACCTGGGGCTCGCTGATATACGTAGACCAGCTGAACAGAGAGTTGTCAGGATCCATGTCTGATGTGGGGTGCCCACACACATCTGGACTTCTACAGTGTTGGGATTGCAGGTCTACCTGGTTTTCCACTTAGGTGCTGGGGCTCCAGAATCAGTTCTCTGTGTTTCCACATGAAGAATTTTATTGACAGCGTCACGTCTCTGTTTCTGCCTTACAGTTTTAGAATCGACTCAGTGTTCGTCAATCTGAACCTCTTACCATTACTGATGCGCAAACTTCATCCTCAGTGTACCTGTGTAGAAGAGAACAGAGCTGTCATCTGCTCTTTCAGGCAGCTGCTGAGGGTCCCAGGGTGTGTCTCCTCCACCTGAGTGACGACGGGCAAACCAGTAATCTTACATGTTTCCTTAAACAAGATATGGATTTTTTTTTCTTTTGCCTCATTTACTTTCAATGCAAAGAAATTGGATTATATAATTTATATAACTTGCAGGGATGTTAGGATTAAATGAAATAATATACCAGAAAGCACCTTGTAAATTTAAGGAATAGAAGCAACAAGGACGACGACAAAAACCACACAAAGGGTAGATTAGGATTAGTGAGCGGATTGTGGCAGCCGGGTAAACATAATCGAAGCTGACTCTTGTGGTCAAACTGGATGAAAGACGATCCCCAGTCCCATGTCCCACGCCGCTTTTCGCAATCTCTCTGCCAAGCTTCAGCAGGGGAGTAGTGAGTGTTTGAGAGAAACTGGGGGAGGTGGTTACTGTCCCTCTGACGCCAAGGGGAGCTGTGTAAGCAGAGGAAACATCTAGAATGGTAAAAGCACATGTAGGAAGGATGCACTCACTACTCCAGGATGATGAGGTTCAAAGTCCACAGGGCTCCTGTCTGTGTTCAAGATAGGAGCTTTTTTTTCTTTCTTTTTTTTTTTTTTTTTTTGGTATACAGGGCTCTTCCTGCTTGTATGCATGTATCCTGCAGTACAGAAGTGGCCACCAGATCTTATCACAGATGGTTGTGAGCCACCATGTGGTTGCTGGGAATTGAACTCAGGACCTCTGAAAGAGCAGTCAGTGCTCTTTACCTCTGAGCCATCTCTCTGGGCCCGAGGGCACCTCCCCAAGTGAGGACCACTGATCAGACTCTCCCTGGCACTCTTCTGCCAGACTCAAGGGTGGTATTCTTCTCCAGAGGCCTGGCTCTGCAGCCTGGGCCAGTAATTTGGTGTTATCAGATTAATTAAGTCATTTATGTGGCTAAATTTACATATGAATATTAAATATCAGGCAAGGCCTCTCTAATCAGACAGCGAGTGTTTTCAGGATAACACTTTGTTCCCAAAACATTCAGAAATATGCAAATTCTGTCTTTAATGAGGCTGATATTTATGTGAGGAAGAAATCTTCCAGCTAGGAAGATTCACTCTCGTGATATCTTCGTCTGGCACCTCGGGCTGTGCTAGATACCTCCTCTGGAGTTGCTCATTAGCAACAAGATTTTTTTTTTCTCACCTGTTTCTCATTCTGAATTTGTCACAATTGGTCACACTGCTGAGAGGTCATGAGTATTGCTCTTTGGTCCAAACGTTGGGTTACTATTGATTAACAGTAAACCTGGGTAGTGAGTGAAGTTTGTAGAATTCCGCTTCCTCCGGACAAAATGGGAAGGATTGCAACCATCTGCGATGCTTTGCCGGAAGAGCCTGGCCCGCGGTGCCCGCCACCTGGAAATTCTCTGTGTATGCACACTGTCCTCCGCAGTTCTCAAGTGACCAGACTGCCTCTCCTTTCTTTTATAGCTTCGATGTGGAAAATGGCCCTTCCCCAGGTCGGAGCCCTCTGGACCCTCAGGCCAGCTCTTCCTCCGGGCTGGTGCTTCACGCCACGTTCCCTGGGCACAGCCAACGCAGAGAGTCCTTCCTCTACCGATCCGATAGTGACTATGACTTGTCGCCAAAAGCCATGTCACGGAACTCATCCCTTCCAAGCGAGCAGTAAGTAAGCCCCTTCCTGTTCCCCTCTGGGTTTCAGTCTCACGAGTCACCTCATCCGGAACCCCACTGTAGCAGCGGCAGCAACTGTTGCCGACCCAGGGAAAGGAGAGAAAACTGGAAGAGCGACTTGCAGAATTTTAACGGGGGTCCTAAGGCATGCAAAGAAAACAAACTCAAACCCTCACACACACAGCGTTCAGTTCACATCTGGTATCTGAAAACTTTCCTTGGGCTTGTTTCCTGAACGGAATCATTTATGGGATGAAAAACTTAACACATTTCGCAAACCACACTTGGATATGTGGGCGGATGAGGCTTTGGGCCAGAACAAAAATGGCGGTCGGTTGTCTGCGTTCTCATTCAGTGGCCTTTGCTCAGGGGCATTTAGCTAAGCTGTCCTCCAGCCACATGCCTGTGGACTTTCTGTGAGATTTTACCATCATACCTACCTGTGTCTGGCTCCTTGGTGAGACACAGAACAGCCAAAGCACAGGCAATATCTTTGTTTGGCTGAGACTAATTGCAGATAGCAGGTTTTTATTTAAAGAATGACAACTCGTTTGTATTGCCTGTTTATTGAATTTCTGAACCCAAATAAAATTGGTTACTGAAAACCCATGGCTTAAAAGGTTTCTGGGCACACACTAATTGGTTTTAACATTGTATGTTATAAAAGTATCAAAAACTCCCTAGAATGTCCAGTCTGAGAAAGTCCACTTCCTTCTCATCCTCTGTTAAAAAGGAACCCCCAAAGATTTACCTTCTTGGGAAAAGGGCATGAAATGGTTTATGACTGGCAGCAGGAAAATATCCTGTATGGTCCCTCTGCCAGCAATCTTAATAGGAGTATTCTAGCCTGGGGACCAGCAAAGCTGGCTCAATTGTTAACAACACTGGCTCTTGCAGAGGACTTAGGTTAGGTTCCCTGTACCTGAATGGTGGCTCACAGTTATCTGCAACCCTTGGACCAGAGGATCCAACACCCTCTTCAGGCCTCTGTGGGCACCAGACATGTGTATAGTACACATATATGCATGCAGGCCAGCACTCATATGTATACAAGAAAAGCAAAAGCAAATAAATCTGTCTTTTTTGAAAAAAAAGGTGGTATATGGTCCTAAAACATTCAGTCATGAGTGGGCCAAAATTCGCATTTCTTGTATTTACTGATTCTCCCATATACTGTGTAGAGTGATAGAATTTGGGGATTTTAAAAAAATGAGTGAAACAGTATGAGACGCCAGAGATGGGCTCAAACAAGAACGTGTTCCTCAAGAGTGGGTGTCTTCTCAGTGACACTAATTGACAATGATACGACGGTCACACACAGGCACATAAACTCCACAGCATAGGACACAACCCACATTGCATGAGCATGTGCCGAGGGCCGGGTTCCTTTACACGTGCTACCTGTTATTCTGACATCCAAGCCATAAACACTGCCCAACCTACACAGTCTGGATTTCATCATGGGAGAGCAAAGGAAACCCAGGGAACTCCAAGTAGGCACAAATCCATTCCCATGCCGTTTGGCAAACAGATGGCTAGCTTTGGAATATATGTATCCCCTCGATTAATTCTTACCCTACTAACTCCCAAACTCACCCCCAAACCTCACAGTGAGTCTCCAGGTCACTCAGCCTTTACAGAACAGGCTAATTAAACTCCAGATGAAATTCTACTGTTTCCTTGTGTGAGATAAATCGATAGAGAGAGTTCAAATTCGAAAATAATTTAAAACTTACAAGCCCGCTTAGTCTCCTCCAGCTCAGAGGATCTCTGGAGCCAGCATCCTTGCTACCAGTTTTACCTCTTAGTACTTTCACTGACCAGTAAAACCTTCTCCCAAGTTTACCTGCACAGTGTTGCCAACTTCAGTTCTAGAAAAGCAAGGATGTGTGAAAATTACCTCGCGTCATTATTACTTTGCAACTTTTTTATTTCTATGAATCTCCCCCTCCCAGCGCGTGTGTGTGTTGCATGCACTGAAGATGTGGATGGAGATGTGGAGGCCAGAGCCGGAAGTCAATAGTTGTCCTTTACTGCTCTCTGCCCTCTTGCCTGAAAGGTTGCAGTTTAGGGCTAGGCTTTCTGGCCAGGGAGCTTTCGTCATCTGCCTGTCAATACCCCTTGAGTTAATGTCACACTCGGCTACGCGGAGGAGTTAAACCTTTGTTCTCATTGAGCAAATCCCCCTTATAAAGATAAGCAGGGAGAGCCCACGATAAAGATAAGTCCTTCCCAGCAAAGTACAGGTGATAGCAGAACCAACAACCCCTCTTTATTCATTCAGTATACTGATATAAGGGTACATTAAAATTTCCCTGCTGAACGAGGGCAAAGGGTTTGGTTTTGAAAATATTGAAGCATAACTGTAAAATCTTTTTGTGTTTGACATTTAAGGACATTATACATCTCCTTATGAGAAGCCACAGGGTTTAAATAACGTCCAGTTTCCTCTGGCAGTTTATTTTGTCCGAGCCACATTGGAAAGTTCAGTTTCCCACTGGTGTTCACATCTAAACTAAAGTGATGTTCTTAAAAAAATAATAATCCACTTTTTAGTTATCTGTTTTTAGGAATATACATGTTCCTTCATCTAATTCAATTGTAATCTTTATTTTATCTTTTAAGGTATTTTAAATGTTTTATTAATTTTATTTTATGTATGTGGTTATTTGTCTGGATGGATATCTGTGCTCCGTGTGTGCTCAGTGTCAGAGGAGGCCAGAAGAGAACACTGGATTCCCGGGAATGAGCCACCATGTGGGTGGTGGGCATCAAACCAGGGTCCTCCGGAAGAGCAGTCAGTGCTATTAACCACTGAGCCATCCCTCCAGCCCCACAAAGTAAGGCTCTTTAAAGTCCTTTCTCCTGAATACCACTGTGCAGGAAGAACTGAACTCAATACAGGAACAGTAGCCCCTCCCCACTCCACTGCTCCTATCTCTGCAGAAGAGACCTTTCCGACGAAAAGCGGTCATGGCAACTCAGGCACCCTCACGCAAAGGCCTCTAGGACGGCTCAGAATGGCCTTGTCTCAGAAGGCCCTCCAATCTAGCACGGATTGGTCACAAATTCAAATTCAGACAAAAGTGATTCTGTGCCATTAAATTCTAGCCCTAGGACAGTGTCGGCTTTGAAATGTTCCCTACACAAACTGCTGCAGTAGAATAAATAGGAATTGCTTACAGGTTAAGCAAGAGGAGGGGAGTAAGTTAAAAATACACGTGGGAAATGATAAATGGCTGTAACTTTTAGCACTAGAGAATAGCTTGCAGTGAGTCTTTCTGGTAAAACAAAACCAAGTCCTCTCCGGCTCCCTAACGGCAAGCTCAGATAGGCTCCTGGATGTGACCATCTCTTGGTCCCTCCTCAGTTCCTGGGCTGCAGTCATTTTTAAACTCATGCCTCTGCGTACTGTGGTACAGGTTTCTCGGTGGGACCCCAAATTACTGAAAATTAGCAGGAGCCGTTTTCAAAACAGCAATAATAGACCATGTAAATTTAAACCTGCTTATTGACAGACTACCAAAAAGTACAGTGTGGTACCCAAGGCTCCCAGCGGCTTCATTTGCTTGGCTTAGCATGGCTGTTAAGACATGGGATCTCTCTTATGGTCCAAATTATCTGTAAGTAAAACCATACATTGATGAAGCCTTGCCTGTGTGCCACGTGCTAAAGGACTTTGCATATGTCCATCAGTGTAGTCCCTGTTTCCTCGTGGTAGGAAAATTTTGTCAGTTCAAGTGGAAAGCATGGAACGAGAAGTCCAGATGGCAAGCCACTGCAAAGATCCAGGATGCAAACCACATGAGGCCCCAAATAAGGATATTCATCCCTGATTTCCCTGCCCTTCTAACTACCAATATGCACCACATTCAATGTTTCTTTTAGTGAATCTTTACTTAGACGAACTTTGAGGAAGTTTCTGTGCCTTCAAGAATCTAAAAGATGAATAAGTCGGTCAGCAGCTTTAATACCTACAAAGATAAAGGCAAAACTAGAGAGTCTTGTACAAGACCCTGGAAGTCCTGGCCAGGCGGGGTGAGTGTTCTACGGGAGGAGGTTGAGCTAGCTGAGCTGGAGGATGGATGGGAGGACTGGGGGTGTGCACAGGAAAAAGGCCGTGACTGAGCGGCTTTCAGATCGAAGGACTGTGGAGGGCTGAGGCTGGTGAAGCAACAGGTTTCACCCTCCTTGTGCAAGGCCTAGGAGTTGTTCTGCCTGCTGCAGCCAGGCAGTGGGAAGCTGCAAGACTTCACATCAAGAGGTGTCTGAGTTTGACATGAGCTCAGGAGAAAGAACGAGCTGAAGAGTGAATAAGGGGGGCAGCTTAGTCCTCACCTGTATGTAGTAACATCAAGGAAGGGGACCTACAATAGAGAAGACTTGGCTGACCAGTAAAAAATGTTTGTGGATTAGAACTGACAGATCTTCGTGGATGATGGTGGAATGAGGTGGAGGGGAGTTTCCCACCTGAGCAACATGGTAGATGACAGCATCGCTCCCTGGCAATTAGGCACTTCCTTCCAGTACCCCAGCAATGTCCACGAAAGCATCCTGTAACTACTGTGCAGTAGAAAGACAAGTCATCTAGACTGCAGTAGGGACAGGCATACGTATCTTACAGAGGTTGTTACCAGCCAGAAGAGAGACAGGCAGCAGCCGCTTACCATACTAAAGAACCCGTTCCTGATGCCTACGGATAAATAAATAGAATGCTTTTATCTGCTAAGAAAGAGACCTCATTTCTCACAGAACCCCCATTTGCAGAAGAGACAAGGCTTGTCTAACTCTCCCGGGCAATAATAAGGCATCTGGGAAACAAGACAACGCTGGCTAGGGGCAGGATGTGTGTTCTCAGAGTGACCACAGTTCTAATCTGTTGAAATCAACTACAGCCCCCCAAAAAAGACAATTCCACATATAGTGAAAAACAACAACCACGAAGTAAATCAATAAAACTCAGAGTCTAGTGGTGAGAAGCAGTAATTTTGCTTTCTAAAAAGAAAGCTGTTTTGTGGTTAAGATCTGACCTACACTCTCAATTCCAAGACCCAATTGCAAGAAGCTGTGAGTTTGGAGGAGTCATGCTTAGACTAAAAGAGTGTAATGCTCCGATTCTGTCACTAGAGGGTGCTTGTGTAACGGTTCTAAATATTTCACCTTGTTTCAGAGAAGGCACACTGCCTTTCTCTAATCTGGGAAACTAAAAAATGAGTAAGATTCCGTAGTCAAATATTTTGATACTGCAATTTCTGCTTATTCTTAGTTTGTAAAATAGCATAGTTATGATTTCTAAATAGTTCTGCAATCTGGGAAGGTTTTGTTTCATTTTATTTGGTTTCTTCCCTGATTCTTGTTCTAAATCTGTTCATTTCCCTACCAGCTATGATCGGACCTACAGCATTAAGTTAGTTGCTCAGATGCTCTTAGGGATCCAGTACAGGCAATCCAGCAATCCACTCCTGTTTCTGAATATCCTGATGCCCCAGCTTCAAAAGTCCACTGAGCAAGTCCTGTTGACATTGGGCCATGGTGGCCTTCCACTCTGTGATCTTTAGTTTATAATGTTTTACTCCCTCTCCAGATCATTTTCCCAACATCAGATCTATACGTGGTGGTGTTCTGTCTTTCTAAATCATTTGCTTGCCATCAGGTAGTTAAACTCCAGAAGCTCAGGAGACATAGAAGATCTGCTGGGCTCCAAATCAATTTTCCGTGCTCCGAATCAGCCTTGTATGTTATAAACCATGTCAGCTTCATCTCAAAAACTGAAACAGACAGCAAGGTCTTTTGCCCATCCGGACATTCACCATATGAAAACATAGGCAGTTGGGTGCAAACCACCAGGCACCATTTGTAACAACCGTTTCTGACTCTGCTTTTAGCTCCTTTCTGAAAGCCCTGAGCTTCCCCTGTGGCTGCCTTAGCTACATATACTACTGTGCATAAAGTCACGCCCAGACCCCTACCCCCACCCCACACACAGACTCCCACTGTAATTATCCCTGTTGCCTTGGGGAAGCCTAACTCTGACACACCACCTCCCTGGTCCATAGCGCCACCTAGGTATGTCTGAGCACCTTGACCTCAACATGCACCCCAAAACTTCCATGGGTAGCATGACAACTCCCAACTCCTCTGCACATTTCCGGTTTCTGCTCATGACTATTTTCTCAGATGCGCATTTTTTTTAAATGAAAATATTCTTTCGTTATGCAAGTAAGTGCTGAATTCTGACAAGATCCCTGGCGTCTCTTTGACGTGTCATTTCCTGCTCCTTTCTTGGCTGCCTCTACTCTTTCTCATTGCCAGGAACCCTCTCGCCGTTCCTCCTGGGGCTCTCCATGCCATGCTGTCTTCAGCACCCCCAGTATGTTGCTGCTTGAAATCCTCTTCCAGTCTGTCTATCTCACCTCCCACGTCCCTGAGAGCCCTCCCTGGCTTGCCTCTTCCTGTTGAGGGAATTGTCACTATAGCAGGCTGTGTGCGCCATAGCTCAGGTGCATGGGACCTTCTAACCATTCTCTCTCCATACACCATAGCGGATGTGCTCTAACAGGCACCAGGGAGCTCACCCACTGTTTTCCCATTTTAGATCCTCTGCTACTACCATTTCTTTCATCGGTATCTCTTCTGCCTGCTTACAGGCTATGTCCCTAGAAGTTCATCTCAAACACTCCTGACTCAGCCAAGCCCTCCTTACTTCCACTAACCCATAATTAATTTCTCTTCTGGGTCCCATCCAGTATCCTTTCTTTGTATTTCTGTCTTTGTTTATATGTATTGTGACTTCAAAAATATTTTTGGTCTCCCTTATCATGTTTTGACTTGAGAGCTTGTGGTTTCTGCATCATTTGATTTGTCAACTATGGAGCAAGTATAGAATAGAAACTATAGTGTTTAAAGCACAGGCTTAGGGGAGCAAAGAGGCTCAGATCTTCCATTTGCCAGCCAGGTGCTCCTTAGCAGCTGCTGGCTTGTTATCACCCAGAATGTGCCGGCCTCACGCTGCATTGCCAGTGTTAACTGAGCTAATGGACACAAAGACCCATCACATGACTTCTTAGCTTGTCTTTATTTTCTTCTCACTGTCCAGACTGGGCCTCCAAGAAATCTCAGAGAGTGCCTGGCTAAGGACAAGGGTGGAAACCCCCACCTTAGTGAGGCATCAGAGAAGGATAGCCATTGATACATGCGCTCTGCAGCTTTGAAACCTGACTTCCCATGGTGCTTGGTACCAGGCAGGTGCTTCGTTATGATGGGGTCCCCTCACATGATCATGGGTGAAGCGCCATGTTTGGCATGAAGACAGAGGACAGAAGGGGTAGGCCAGACAGGGAGGGGAGCTTGTTGCCATCAGCTTCCGTGTTGCTGATTCATAGGGTGCCAGCAAATTAACCTCATTTTGTGATGGTGGCCAATGCGGTTTCTCAAACCCTCAGCTGAGTGCCTGCTGAAGGCAGTCGTTAGCCGATGACGAAAGCAGATGCCAAAGCCCGGATAGTGCATTGCTGCAAACACCGTTTTCACTGGTCCCAGGCACAGACTGGTGAAGCAGGAGGCAGAGCGGAATTAGCTCTGTGGGACCAAATGGGTGTCCCTGTTACCGCTTTAGTAGGCTCCGTCTGCACATTCCCATTAAAACATTTTTCCTTGGGTACTTTAAGAGGGAGGAAAAAAAGAGTATATTAAAAACAAAAAGTAATGGGATTCCCAGACAGAAATCTGTGTTTAAATGGTATTAAAGCTGCGGTTCAAATGAACAAAAGCCAGGAAATCCAGTGTTACCCTTTATCCAGGCTGTGGTACCATTTTTTTTTTTTTCCGATGCACAGTGTGCCTATGGGCAGCCCTCCCTTTGAGTTTCCTGGCTCTGGCAAGTCAAATCCACAAGTCAGTTTGAATTATAGGACTCTGGGCCTGCCGTTTAATGGGACTGTATGCCCCGAGGACACATGCTCACTTGCCAAAGCTTTTAGATGGAGCCACCGCAAAGCCAGCAATCATGAGCTGGGCGCTGTTTTTCTTTGGAGTTCATGGCTCCCGCCATCCTCCCACGCAGGAGGGTTACTGGAACAGGTGGGTTGCTGACAGGGATGAACTTCTGTGTGACTTGTGTGTCATTCTTGAAATTCATCGGCTCTGCTTCTTTTTCTGTGTTCACCAGGCACGGCGATGACCTGATTGTCACTCCGTTTGCCCAGGTATGTACGTAGCGTGCTCGTCCCCACCCTGTCGCCTGTGTGGTTTTTTTAAATGCAGTCCTTTGACCCTAACCAGTTTGGAAACCTTGTCCTTACAGGTTCTCGCCAGCCTGAGAAGCGTAAGGAACAACTTCACGCTGCTGACGAACCTCCAGGGAGCTCCCAACAAGTAAGCCGAATTACAGCTCCCTCCAACAGAAGCCACAAACACTGAAGAACACCGAGCACAAACATTGCCCAGAAATCCGCCCTACACGTTAAACCTTCATACACAAGGCATTTGAAAATATAAAGTTGAAGGTCCACGAAGTTCACTTGTGTTTCAAAGACTAACATAGCCTCAGAGGGTGATAGCGTCCATGATCTTGGGAGGAGTTAGGAGAGGGCCGCGAGCCCACTCAGTCAGCCTGTTTTATAAACGGGAAACTGGAGCCCTCAGGAATAAAGCCACTAGCTTGTGAATGCACTCACTGTAGGTTAAAGAAACATTGAATTTAAGTCGCGCAGTGGTGGTGCACGCCTTTAATCCCAGCACTCAGGAGGTCAGAGGCAGGCAGATCTCTGTGAGTTCAGGCCAGCCTGGTCTACAAGCGCTAGTTCCAGGACAGGCTCCAAAGCTGCATAGAGAAACCCTACCTGGAAAAAAAGTAACAAAAAAAAAAAGAAAAAGAAAAAGAAAAAAAAGAAAATAAAAGGAAAGAAACTTTGGATCTAAAGCTTGATTCTCTAGGTTTTTCAGTCCGCAGTCAATTATCTATATGCAAAGTCTTCCTGAAGCTACTCCTCTGTCATTTGTTTGGCTTCATCCAGATTCTGATAAAGCAGATGATGCACAGTGACAGTAAAGGCTAGTCTGAACAATCCCTTTCCGCTCCCTGTCCTGGAGTTAGCATTTAAGCCTCCTGGCGAGAACAAGTTGCATACTCCTAGAGTATCTCTCCAAGCATCATGGTCTCTCGCCAGCTCTTTTGTGTGCTCCCACCAGAGTGAGTTTTCTTCCACGCTGGTTGTGTGACTGCATCATTCTCTTGCCTGGGCATTGCAGTGGGCCGCTCTTTAAGAGCCGGTCTCGATGCCTGTGCATTGTGTCTGAGACGCCTCGCCGTCCAGTAAGCTCACGGGATGGAAAGTTAGTTGTATTAACATTTAGAGCAAGTAAGAGGGGAACATACCTAAGCTAAAATTCAGACTCTTTGAGCTCTGATGTGATGTCAAGCATGGAAAGATCCACATCTGATCTCAGGTGATAGGCTGCATCTAGTTTCATTAGGTCCTACTGTGTACGATTACCGTCAAGTTATTTGTGGGAAGTGCGCATGAAACCCACGAGCTTTCTATTCAGCCTTGATTCTCATCCCCAAGATTTCTCACCGCACAGATGAAGATATCTCAGAATCTGAAACATAAACAGAAAGTGAATCGCAAATCTTCAACCCTCAGACACGCAGACAATACACAGAACCCAAAGACGTGCTTTGGAGATTTTTTTTCCTGTTTATTCATTTATTAATCCACCCCCACCAGTATTTATTTCGTACATACGACTCAGCGATTCCTACACGTACATAATTACACAAATACTGGCCGTTCATTTTATGCTAAGCACTGATGACCTCATAGTGGTCCACACAGACAAGGTCCCTGCCCTTTTACAGCTTATGTTCTAACAGGAAGTGGGGGTGATTAATCAGTGAGCCGTCAGATCATGTCTCCAGCCACCCAGGCTGACGTTCAGCAACCGAGGTCTGGCAGTTTTCTGTCTGTCCCCTCCACCCTGATCACGGACTCTCTTTGCCTAAACTGCCTCCTCCCTGCCGGTGTCTGCTTAGCCATACTCCGACATCTTTTAGGATGAGTGGTCTCTATCTGGCCTGACAGCCTGCTCATAACCTGCCACACTGTCTTTATGGGGTTTTGCCCATCACCAGGCTGTGGTAGAATGTCTGGCACGTATTTTATGTCTCATAAATATCTCTTGTGTATGTGTGTGAATGAGTGTGGCTGAATAAAGAACTATTACAACATAGATTGCTAACGACTTAGAAAATTCCTGAGAAGTTTAGAAATTTCCTTACCCTGGCATACTGCTCTGCACATAATTGGTTTCTGGGACTGTATGTGTTGACCACATCATATAGTTCTACTGCTTGGAAATCGTATGCATGGACAAGTTAATTCTCTTCTGTGGCTCTCGGGTTCCTAAACTTTGAGATAAGATCATTACGAGGCTTAAATGAATTAATATTCATAAAGCACTCAAAGTGACATACGGCATAGTAACTGTGAACTATTATAACGGAAAACTAGTCTTATTGAGCCTGGAGGAATTTTTATATCTCTTATCTCAGCAATGCTCCCTAAGCAATAGTTGTGACAGAGATAATTACTTCCATTTTATGGAGAAGGAATCAAGGCTGGGGGAGATTAATTGACCTGAATGTGACCACCTGCCCAGTTTCTAGTGAGCATCCTTGAACCCAATTTCCCAGCTCTCAGTGCCGTGCTCCTCATATTCAGGACACCAGTTCAGTCCTCCGGGTGCAGAAAGAAACCCTGGGTGGCTTGAGCAGTTATGTAGGAACAGCTTCTGAAACAGGGTGAGCAAAGAGGCGAAAAGCAAACATTAAGCCAATCTCTTCCGGAATGAAGCACCAAGACAGAATGTTACAGGTGGAGACAGGGAGGAGGGATGAGTAAAGATGCCCGGGACCAAACCAATATGCGACACAGATCCAAGGAGTGGGTACACACAGCGTTCTCAGTGCTGTTTGCTAGCATGAGTGTGGGTAGTTTTGGAGACAGCCTAGCCCTGCTGATGAATACACTGAAGACACTTTCTCAAGAACTGGGTCTTCAGATAGCCCTGTACGTTCCGGGTCACACGCAGTTCCAGGGATCTAGTATCTTGAGACCATAAATGTCGTATACAGAATGGACCTAGAGCCGTTACCATTCTCAGACTGAGGGCCAGCTCTCAAATCATGACCCACTGTGTTATATTTGTCCAGGACAAATGTGAGAGTGTGTCTCTAGGGGTTAGTCATCTGCATTCGCTGACCTCTGAAGACCCACATCTGTAATTTATAGAGTTCGTCTCGCTATTTATCTCTAGGCTTTTGATGGTTTAATTTTGAGAGAGGTTGTTCGTCTCTGGCCCCAGCTGACCTGGAACTCACCACCCTACTGTGTGACTCAGGCTGGTCTCAAATTCATGGCAATCCTCCTTTCTCGGCTCCTGTAGTTCTGGGGATGCAGGTGTGAACTACTATCCCAAGCTTGATTATTTAAAGTATTTCTTTATAATCAACATCAAAGGACAAAAATTTAAGGAAAGGCAGATCCTCAAGAACTTTCCCCAGGGGAGCTGAGGGCACCTCTGTGTACTTCCAGCTATGACCTGAGTGTCGGATTTAAGCCACAAATGGAGTAACGTGGCAGCAGTAGGCTTGAGAGCTGCAGGTCCATTGATCCGCTCCACTCTATTGCTAGGTAATCAGTACCCACCAACAAGGAGCAGGAGGTGAAGACAATCTTATGATTGTCTACCAGGGATGCACATGGCCTATAGAGAGCATCCCCCATCCCACCCACATGCATTAGCTTATGCTAACAATTGAAGCTGTAAGATCCATGGAATTTAGAAGCTGCTTTCTGGGATATTTAACGTGGGTTCCAGGGTGCCACTCCCTGTCTTGAATGTAGCATTTAAGCAGTAATTATGTCCTTGGAGTGGTTTTCACGAGACATCTGGCTAGTGTGGTTTATTATGTGAAAAGGAACTCCCACATAGAACTATACTTCTCCTAAGTTATGGTTTCTTTTATCTTTTGGCTGTTTGCTCCTGTATAAAGCAGCCCATTGTCTGCCTGAGCTCTGCCACCCAAAGGGTGAAAAATCTGAAAGTTTCTGCTGAGAAGGTTTCCTTGCACCTCAATGAAACGAGGGATCAGACCTGTATTTCTTGGCTGCAAATTAAAACCTACACTTCCGTTGTCCCGGGAGTTAATTTTGAAGGCTGCAGCTTTCCATTTGGGGTTGTTTAATTCAGAAACAGTTCCCTGAAGCCCTTGATGGCTTCCAAAAGACCAGCCGTGTCCCTGAGTGTCCTCGCCACTCAGTAGCCGAGATGGCCGCTTCCATCTTCCGTCAGCAATCAGGGACACACGTGACGATCAGAGAATCGCGTCATCTTCGCGTTCACAGTTCTTCAAAGGCATAGTTGGATCACAACGTACATGTTCTCTGAAAAAAAAAATAATAGCCATCTTCTTTAGTATATATCTGGAATGTCTTTCAGGGCTTTATATATTTTGGCATGGGACTTAAATTAGCTGAGAATCATAAAATCTTGAACACTCAGATATGGAAAATACCTAGCCAAATTTCCTCCAAGTAAGTGAGGAAATGTACGGGAGCCTCTCACACAGGACCTCACACACTGTAAATCATCAGAAATAGAAGTTACTGCCTGCTCTCCTTGAGTAAGAAAGAAACTGAGGTCGGGTGAGTTGCCAGGGACTACATATATGGAAGGTGCCAGAGTCAGAACTGGGATTAAGATTCCTGGCATCTATTGTGGTTCAGTTCTCTCTCTCCACTACACAATTCAGGCTGAAAAGCATTAACTGCTGTGGCCACACCACCTTCCCCATGCTTATCAACATCCTCAGAAGCCAGGTAAGGAACTTTCTCCCGTTCTTCCCTGAGTTAGAGACCGCGAAAAACCAGGCAGCATGTATCCTTTATTTTCCCCTGAGCTCATCAGTTTCTGGCTGTCAGTCTCGTGTCTTACCAACAATAATGCGGCTTCTGGAAGGCATCCATTCATTCAAGTGTACTGAACCTCCTTCTTGGACCACTTATCAAGTAGTGATACACTGAATAAACACGACCCTTGCACCTACACAGGGGAGCTTATCTGAAGTAACAAGTAAAGGCCATACTTTCACAAAGTAACTTCCAAGATAAAAGAATTTACATAATGTGTAAATTCAGAGAAATAGTGGAGAAAAAAATGGATGATATGAGTAATCATGCTACTCAGAAAGATGTTTCTGACATTTAAGAAGACCTAGTTCGCGGTCTTCTTTCACAAAAACCTCCCAGAGAACTTGGGAAGATACGCACGATTCAAAGTCCAGTAGTGCTGTGAACCCAGTGGCCAGACAACGAAATGGGCATCACTCAAATGCCATGCCAAACAGCAGGGTTGCAACTAGAAATGTGACTCGGTCCTTCCTTACATGCCTAAAACTGTGCTGAAGAGAGAGATGGGAAGATGCGGGTTGCATCGCAGTATGGTGATAAAATGTAGGTAACAACATGGCACAGGTGAGGGCCACTCACACCAGAGTATGGGCAGGACTGCCTGAGCACAGACCCAAGTTACACAAACGAGTTAGCCGCCCAGCCAGATGTCTACAAAGTCACAGCAATGAGAGCATGCATAGTGGGCAGCCCAAGGGTCAAGACTGCATATGAATAGATCCACGCTAACACATCCAGAGAGTGTGTTGGTATCTTCTTCATAATACTTTCTTACCAATGACTGGTTCCGTCAATAGGCCACCAGTAGTTCGGGAATCCCTACCCCTTGCCAGAAAGTTGATGGGTCCTACAGAAGACTGAAAAAGAGGGAGAGGTCAAGCCGGATCCTACTCTGAGCAGGGTGTGAGGTCAGTGGTGGAGCTAATGTATACATGTGTGAATTGCCAGATGAAGAAAAAAACCTCTGGTCTAGGTAGAGCACCGTGATATCATGAGTGACTAGAGGAGGGGCCATTTTGAATTGGGAATAAAATTTCCTTTTGAAGGAGATTTGTAATCTTCAAAGGTAGGTGATGTTTAGTATGAGGAGAGTTTCTTCTCTGAGCATCAATAAGAAAGGAACAGAATGAATTCAAATCAAAAGAGACCAACCTTGACCTGAGCAAATTGTTTATTCATCTGTTCATCCAGCATTCCATACGATAAACATTACTGACTAGTTGGCATATAAAGACTTTCTTGGGTACCATCCTAGGACCCAGCAGTGAACAAGCCTTCCCTTGCCTACATAAAATTTACCTTTGATCTAGGGAGTTATATATCAAACCGTAATTAGACAGTTCATATTTTAATTGCAATTTTGGAGTTGGACAAGGGAGAAGGTATGAAACTTGAGAGAACACACAGCCAGCCTGGGTCTGAGATGAACTGTCAGACAGAGTGGGGGGGGGTCTAGTGATAATCTAGAGAATTATGATAAGGGTGGACCACGAAAAGCTTTGCAGGGCGGGCTGAGGAGTTTGGAATTGACCATTCAATGTCATGGACAAACAAAACAACCAAACCAAATGAAAACAGCCCTTGGTAGTAGTGCAGGGGTGTTCAGGAAATGGGATAGAGAAAGGGGCTGGCACTTCCAGTTCAGAACCACCTGGCTTTGAATCCTGGCCTGCCAGTTAGAAAGCACCATGTGTGCTGTAGTGTGGATCTTCATCTGCTGGTCCTTAATGACAAATGACAACACTCCCGATAGAAGAAGCTAAGAAGGGACAAGCATAGCATCCAGCAGAGAACAGCAATCACGGCATGAGGACTTCCCAGCCAGTCACACATGGAAATTAGATACCAAAGAGAACTTGATTGAGGATCACCCTGTGGATCTGTTGGTGGTGGCTGTGGAGTCTGTCCATGAACTTGCAGTTAGAGAGAGAGAGCTGCATGAAAGGTCTATCCCCAGGGGGAATGTGATGTCACTGCTGGGGTTGACCAATAGGCAGGGTCTTCCTCAGCGACAGCCTTGCGCGCCTTTCTCCATCACTTAGAATTTGACTTCTTCCTCAGACCTGCCTGAGCATGGGAATGCAAAGAGGACTTTAAGATGCAGATCCCTAGGCCCTCCACCAGACATATGGACATGGACTCTTCTCGGGTGGGGAAAGTATTTTTTAAATACCTCCTCAAGTGGGTCTGAGGTTCATTTTGTTTTATCAGAGCTTGCAAGCATCAAAGCCTGGGCCCAGGGTGAGTAGCATGCTAACCATTCATAGTACACCAATTCAAGGGTCAAATGCAAGTAAAAAGCAGAAAAAGGAGGTGTATTCAGTGTCGCAACACTAGGAAGAAAAACAAAGCAGTTCATGCGCATCCTCCTCCCTAATACCTACAGGAGTCTATCTTCAGGCTCCTGATGGGAATATTAGATTTAAATAGAAGGCAAGAGCTGCCCATAACTAACAAGCTTTGGTCAAGCTGTGGTCCCACCCATTATTGGTCCACCATTATCATCTCAGCTCTGGTTCTGTCTTGTAAGGTGGTCTGACCAGTTCTTGGCACTGTGTGGATCTCTTCAGAGAGACAAGCTCTCTGGTTGGGTCAGCCTTTTCTCTCTTCCAGCATGAGACCTCTGGGGAAACTTCCAATTTCTTAGGGTCCATTGTCTCAGTTAACCTGATAACCAAAGGGAGGTTTCTTTAGGTGTCTCCCTTTAGGATACCCTCGCTAATGGCAGGACAGTTGCACCCAGGACTACTGGCCTAGATCTCTCTCTTGATCGGAGACATCCTGTTGCTCTTCAGTGGGGCAGACTCTTTCTATCAGGGTTTTTGAGGGGGCTTCTGTGTGAGACCATCATTGCCAGCAGCCTCTGGGAAATGTAGCCCGTCAGAAATACAGACGCATCTGTCAACTGCAGACCACTGCATGGGACCACAGAGGCAGGGTTGACTGCAGGTCACTGCATGGAACCCAAGGGACAAGTTAGACTGCAGGTCACTGCATGGGACTCAAGGGGCATGGCTGCTTTAGGTCTACTAAATCAAGACCAGAAGCAGCCTGGAGCAAAATATTCTAATGTGCCTTGCAGGTAACTCTGCTGTACTCTGAAGTTGGAGGTCACCGCTCCGTCCTGTTCCAGATGGAGAAATATTTGGGGCAAACATTTTGACTTCATCCTCTAGCCTCCACCCACTCCTGCATGGGCAAGCACACGCGCACACATCTTTGCACACGGATATACCCCCATACATACAGATAGGAGGAGTTGCGCTAGTAATGAAATGGGTGTTTGCTTGTTTCATTTGCCTCTTGCTGTAAGGATTTTATGGAAAATGGAACCCTCATTCCTCCAGGAAAGCCAGTGCCTCTATTAAGAAACCCTGATCACTGTGGCCAGTTGCCGTGTGTGGCATTTAGCAAATGATTTGTCCTCCCAAACATCTCCGTTTCCTGAGGTGAAAAGAATGCGGTTCCTGAACTGATAAATCTCTACGGGTTTCTCTGGCTGTGACTTTCTGTCCTTAACGGAGATTCATGCTGACATCTGGAGTGAGGCCTCAGCAAGTGTCTCCTTTGCTGAGAGACTCCCTTGACAGAAAACCTGAAATGGAGGGGCTGGCCGAGGGACCCGAGGCAAACAACATCCTTCCTGGCGAGTTGCCGCATCCTGATGCTGTGCTGAGGGAAATTCCAGGCCATCTGGATGTAAGAGGATTGCAATCCCCTACCCATGTTCCAGGAGCCTGCCTTCCGGAGATAGCCTTATGTCACTGGGTTGCTCATTAGGCCCTGAAAATCTCCCCAGGGCTCGGGGATCATGGAAGGGGCGAGGGCTCTTCAGTGCATACTCAGCCTCTCTTTCTGCTTTTCCACAGGAGGTCGCCAGCGGCTACTCAGGCTCCGGTCTCCAGAGTCAGCCTGCAAGGTAGGCCAATGCCAGGAGACCCATCTCCTTCCAAAGCAATAACTGTGTTTCCTATTCAAACCTGTTATTTGAATAACAGCATTCATAGGCACGCTCTAACCCTCAGCAGAGTGTCTCTTGGTGACTTTTTTTTTCAAAGATGCATTGGGCCTTCACCCTAAGTGAAGCCAAACTAAAAATACTTGGAGACAAAGTGCTCCCTGTGTGCCTAGGCCTCCACAATGAAATGTGCGGTCCTGCTGTTTCCGGGAGAGAGGGAGGCAGGCCTATGTCAAGAGTACAACTGGACCTCAGCTTGCTGACCTCAGTGAACTCTAGGAGTGCTAACCTCAAACACTCCCCCACAGGGTGCCCACATTAGCTCAAGATCCCCAAGGCTCGTTAATGGTTTTCCCCCCTTTCATCAACTAGAGCTACAACTTGCTCCACATGCCAACCAGGTGGGAAACCAAAGGTTCTTTCCAGGTCACGAAGCATTCATTTCTCTTGGAGGTCACCCAGCTTGGTTCTTCTCATCTTTCAACACTGTGCATCAGCCCATCTTGAAATCTGCTGAGAGGAAGGCTTATTGGGAAGGGGACAACACGGAACATGTGTTTGTCATATCACATGCAACCATTTGGGTGACCTCTTTGCAGTCCATGAGTTCTGCTCCCTTGAACCTGCCTCATTCATACAGCAGAGACGTGCAGCAAAACCCCATGGAAAACTAAGATGCTCTCACCGTGGTCACCTGGCATCTCAGAGCACTAGTCTCCCCCCACTCACACACACACTCAGATTCTTCCCCTTTGGATGGTATGCTCTCTCTACTATTATGATGGCCATAAGTATCTCAGGAGTGTTACAAATGACCAACGTCTGAACGAAGGAACAAAGGCAGCGGATTCCATTTGCTCATTGGCTGCTGAAGTATTTGTGGTATACACTTTTAAAACTTTTAGAAGAAAAAAGATGGAGAACAAAAAGGAAAAAAAAAATGAAGGAAAGATGTGAAGGCAGGTGAGTGTACCCCAGAGCCCTGTGATATGAGCTAGAAGGCAGTAAACAGTGTTCTACCCACAGACTTCAAAACCTCAGCGGGCTGATGGGCCACTTCCGTTAGGTATAAAAGGAAACAGAGCAGGGTCTTAGTGTGTGGCTGAGCTGGATACCAGGAGATCAAAGGAGCTGTTTGGAACCGCCTGTTGTTTCATCTTATTGGCCTACGCACGAGGCATCCTTGCTGGTTTTGTTTGCCAATTCTGCCAATATGTTTCCGACGCAAATTTGGATGTTTAGAGTGCATTTTCTTTCTCTTGTGATAAATACAGGCACATACCAGAAGGGTATAGGGTGCTTATGGTTCTATAAATGAACTCATTAGCCAAAACACTGTTTGAAAGATGTTTTATGATTATTGGCGCATTGGCTCCAGCTTGGCAACTGAAGCATTCTTAAATGCTTTTGAAACAATGGAGCAAAGAAGTGGCAATATACTTAAGGCAATTTGTTTTTGTCTGTCTTTGTGGCAAACTACAACGATCCTGGGTTTTCTTTGGGAAGAGACTGTGGTGGTACCAATTATTACATAATTACCGGTTTCAAAATCTTCCCAACGGCTAACCACAGTCAGAAGAAGAGGGAGGAGGCACACATCCCGTGTTTTGTTCTTATTATCAGCTTCAATAAGTCGGGCAGATTTTTCCTGTTATTTTAATATTTATCAGCATATGACAAAGAGGTGTGTTTAAATAGAAGCTCGAAAGCGGAATGAAAAATACATGGCTTCGAACAAAAGCATGGAGCGCTTGGGCGGACTTTAAAACATTGGGTTTCCACGAAAAGAAAACCAGGCATTTATTTAGAAGTACTGAATTTGAACTCATCTATTTTGATAGAAACATGAGGAGTAAGAAGTACAAGGCTATAGTTTGAGCACATTCAGCAGTGACGTATGTTGTCAGCGAAGCCATTTCCATTGTGTGTAGCAGGTAGAAGACAGCTTTGAGAAGACGGCTCTTTGGCAGCTTCTTCCTCTTCCCCTTTCTCCCTTCCCCTGATTTTTCTTCTTCCCCCGTTTCTTCTCCCTCCTAGTTTTCCTATTCTTCCTCTTCTACCCTTTTTTCTTCTGCTGCTTCTTCATTCATATAAATGGAAAGTGATTGTCCGTGAAAGTGAATTCTCCCAACACAAATGAGATTCCTACACTTACTGTGATTGTTGCTGAACAATCGGAACTCTGGGTGAGGAGATCTCTCAGCGTGAGACACCTTTGCTCCCACTGCTGGACCAAGGTGATTCTCAGCCCCCGGGGCTCAACACAAATGTCCCGTCATTTTTATTTTGCATGATTGTTCCCGTTTTGTGCACGGCAACACTCTAATTCCCAAATGAACTCTGGTTCCTCGGCACTGTACCTTTTCCAGTGGGAACCCAGGCTCCTGAAGGCAGAGGCTGCACCTTTCTCTTCTCTTTGAGGTCATAATGTGGTAAGCCATTTCTGCAGAGTAGGAGTAGAGTAAATATCAAACTAGCCAGAACTATGTAAAAGTTGGACTTTGAAGGAAAATTCCCATAACGGTAATAATGAGCCGGTATCTCTGTGTCTAGGGAAAGTATTCACTTCTGCTTTGTTTTGTTTTCATAGTCTGTGTTGTTTATTAGAATTTGAAGGTGCTGGGGTGACTTTTGGTACGTGCTTCTAGGTCGGTGTCTTATGCAGGCTTTGAATAGAAAGAGTAAAGCCTACGAAGGCGACATTCTGCCGATGAAGTGAGAAAGCCACCATACGATAATGAGGGCTAAACCCAGAATGAGCGGTTCTGAAGCCTGTGCGCATAGGTTGGGGAGGTCACAGTATACCCTCTTGAGTGTGCTGAAAATCCGAAGGCTGAGGCTAATGAGCAGCTCAACTTACACAAAATAATCACTTTCTTTTGAATGCATGAATTCTTGGCTTTTCTTGTACGGGATTAAAACAGAAAGGGGAAAAAATAGAATAAAAAGGGGGAAAAAGTCTGAAACAAGGAAGGACCTCATATCCTTTCACCTGGACATATTCAACATGGAAGACTGCAAACATACCAGATAATTGGAAAAATAAATCAGTGTGTATTCATAAGTGTGATTACGTGAACACTGTCTGACTTTCCCCATACTCTCTGTCCCAGCCTCTGGCATGCATCTCCTCTGTGTCTGTGACTATGACATTAAAGAACCTACTGAGGAGATAAATGACTATGGGGCCACTGCCTTTGCAGAAAGATTTTTTTCCTACATGAAAGAATGAGAGAAATGTTGCTTATAGTACCTCTCACGTCTGAGTCACACAAATGACTTGATTTACACCAAGATGTATCTTATACAGAGGTGTGTAGCAGCCAGAGTGATGTGTGGAGTAGGGTGCCCTATGGTAATATTTCTTCTAAAATGTAACACTGGCTTTAAAGGTTGTGAATGTCCACCCCTTGGAACAGACCTTATGTTTTTAAAGTAACCCAGAAGTTGATGGAGCGTGTGAAATGGCCGCCAACTATGTCAACGCCATCACCGAAGAGCTAACTGCCTGAAGGTCCCGAGGCCAGACCACCACAGACACAGCATCTGCCTCAGCCTGGGTGTCCATAGCATTAACTGTGGTGATTTTTCAACAGGAGTCAATTGAAACTTATTTCAGGGAAAGATTATATTTGGAGAGCAAGGACGAGGAAGCGTAAGTCTTCCAGTAAAGCGTGAAATGTGCTGGCCTCTTCAAGCAACAGCTTTAATTAAGGTTCTTCCCAGGCTCTGGGGAGCCCATGCCTTCTAATAGGCTTCAGGGTCACACGGGAAGGGATGACGCTACCAATTGATAAGACGAAGAAGAGGCTTTCTCTCAGGAAACCTATTTCTCCGCATGACTCCTCATGTGTCTTCCATTTGCTTTGACTGTCTCTGAGATCTACGTAGTTGTGGCAGAGGCGCAGAGAAATCGAGAACGGGCTCGGGACCTGATCAACTCAGACAGTCAAGACTTTGCTAGAACCCCCAGGGTCTAGGATGAGAGACAACTGATGTACGCAGGCAGAGGTCCCTCTGAGGACTAACTTCTAGCTGAGGACAACTATGGCTTGAAAGCTGATCCGATCCGTGTCGGATGACCAGAAAGGAAGGCCAGCACAAACCCAACCTTTGCTTGGTTTCTGCATTGAGCAAGAAGCGGCAGGCAGGATTACCATGTGAGCAAAGAGAAATAAGATCAATTATCTTACCAAAGGTTCTGGCCACTCAGAATAAAGGAGATCCTGGAGGAAACTGCAAAAAAGAAAAGGGGAAAATGAAAAAGAGCAGGCATTTTCTTCAGTGTTCGGAATGATGGGTGTGACCTGAATCTCTGGGACAATCTGCTTAATTACACGCTGTGAATGTGTCAAGAGCTTGCATACAAAACAAAATCATAGAATATAACTGCACAGAAAAGCTGCACAGTTCTCGGCAGCATTCCCTAAATGGTTTGAAAAGAACCTCTTTTGTCGAAAATAGACATCCTGTAAAAGTTTGCCCCAAAACACAAACACTGAGCTGTCTGCATTGATTTGCAATTATTTCATATATGTCTAAAATTAAGTATGGGTAACTACAAAATCATTAGGATGTCAGCTAAAGTGTGAACAGCTGAAACGTTTCTCCCGAGCGAACAGAGCCAAAAATAATGTCTTCCTTATTAATGCCTGCTTTGACTTGTGCAGAATTAATTTCTTCGTTTAGCAGGAAAACTTCCTTCTCATATTAAATGGGACCGGGGGACCAGCAGCATCTAGTCTCTCAGTACTTGCAGAAAGAGCTAAGTCCATTCCTCAGGACTCCACATCGTGTTTTCACGCTGCTGAGAGACACCATCCACCCCCTCCCCCTGAAAGCTGGAATCATGCATGTTAGTAAGTATTTCAGTTATGCGATTGACGTCAATGGAGTCATTAAATAGATTGCTGGCCCTCCCAGAGGCAAATCACTGCCAGGGACCTAGATACAGACACTTTTTTTTTTTCAAAGACAACCATCAGGTTTTGCTATGAGAGAAAAGGAAAAGTTTACAGTGGAGCCGACCTGTCTCCAAACAGTTTCTTTTTGTTCTTTGCATTTCGGTTCCGGCCTTTCTTTCTCTTTGGTTACAGTAGACTCCAAAAGACACCCAGATATTGTTGCCTAAATGTTTTGTGCACCAAAGTATCTCCTGTAATTGAGACCGTAGAGGAAGATACTCCCCTTTGAAAAGGGAGTCTCGCCTTTTGCTCCATTTAGCCCATCTTGATGTTAATTCGGTGGCATACATTGTCTAAGCAAATCACTAGCATCTGCTACTGACGTTGTATTTGATGTATGGACCCTTAAACAGTATCCTTCACACACACACACACACACACACACACACACACACACACACATTTGCCTTTTTCTGTTGCCTCTGCATGGCTCAGTGCTGCAGCCCTCACCTCTGAATTAATTTTTCTGCTGCTGGCACCGTGCTGTGGCACCGAGATTCTGTAGCAAAGGGTGGAGGAGGCAGCTGGGAAGACAAACTGTTTCTCATGGCTGCCTCATCTGCAGCCATGCACCCACAGGAGGCTAGCCACGTGCCTGTGTCCTCCCAAACCCCAGCTGCTGCCTGCCTCAAGCCTGGTCATGCAGCTCCCAGACCTGTCAGAGAAAACCCTTCAGGTCATAGCTGCCTCTTCCTGGGAATGCCTGATGGCTCTGTTTACCTGAGCTGCAGTTGGAAAGACTGCCAAAGACTCACCCCACACCTGGACTCTTGTACCCGTGAGGCCCAGAGCCAGAAAACTACCTTCTTTAGACCTGGCCCTCATCGTCTACCATACAGGCGGTAGAACCCATTTCTCACTTCAACATTTGTCCCTCCACTCCATGGATTGTCCCCTCCCTTTATTTATTGCTAGGGGTATGCTTGAAACGCTTGGTGATCCCGCTCGATTCATCTGGAGACCCAGATTCCATGCCCTTTCTGCCCTGTCCCTTTTTTCTGTAGTTCGGGAGAACACTGTCGCCAGCACCCATTTGTCTCTCCCCTGCCAGGATAGCCAGCTTCTAGTCTCCCCTTCTCTCCTAAAGGAAAGGACTTTGTTGTCCTGTACCCAAAGCATTACGGTGACCTTTCGAAGTGGTCTGTTGTCCACAATCTTTACCCATTTGAACCCATCCATCTTTCTGGTTCTACAATGCTTCTTCTAAACCTAAATGTAGGTTCTTTTATTGTTACTTTGTCTTGTTTTGGGATGGTATTTGTGTTTGTGTATGTCTGTGTTTATGTATGTTTAATGTGGTATGTGTATATGTGTGTGTATGTGGATATGTGTGTATGGGTTTCTCTGTGTGTACATCTGTTTATGTGTGTATATTGTGTTGTGTGTATGTGTTTGTGTGTTTATGTGTGTTCTTGGACTGTTTGCCTGATTTGTGTCTTCCTGGTCTTTAAGATCCAACCTTCTTAGTAGACTTGTTGGCCCTCAGAACTCTGCTCCTAAATCCTTCTCTGTCCCAGCCTTATCATTGCCCCACCCCTACCTTGCTTGGCTGTGTGAGATCAACATGTCAGCCTCCTGCCTCCTGACTTCCCACATTGACTCTTCTCCCAAGGCTGCATATGCTTCCTGCTTCTCAGATTCTAGAGTGATGATTCAAATAAACACACAGTTTTGATCTCAGGCCTAGTATACCGAACGTGTTTAGAAAGCACCACCTCACTCATCCATCTCCATCTGGAGCATGCATTTTTTTTATCCTGTAAGATTCTACTCATCTGTCATCTTTAAAATGCCCCCCCTCAAATCCTATTCAATTATTGTCTCAAACACTCTTCATTAGGATCTTGAAAACTCAAAATAGTGCTTGAGATAGCCCTGTTTTATCCTCTACTAAACCATGAGCACCCCAAATTCATATACAAATCCTCTGGTCTTATCCTCCCAACTAAGAATGTAAAACATAACAGATGCCCGATAAATATCTGTGGGATGAAAAAGCAGCAGAGAACGATTGCCCAAGCTCAAATCCAAGCTATTGGAAGGGCAGAGGTGTTTTACTTCCTTGGCTTTGTTCAGGCTTGCCTCACCCTGCTGGCTCTCAGGACGCGGGCTCAGGGCTGACATCCTTGGCTAACGTAGATTGCATGTGACCTTTAAGGCACATGAAGTGAACTCTATTTTTTCACTTTGGAGAGAAATGACAAAGTTAAAAGAAATAGAAGGAAACAAACTTACTAAATACACAGAGCTTGCCATATCAAACCATAGCGTTCTCTCTACCCACCAGTGCCTGGCACAAAAAGGCTACTTAAAAGCATATTGAAGTGAATTGAGTTAGGAATCTGGATCAGTCTCTCAGACAAATAATTCTCTACTTGAAATTTTTTTTTTAAGTAAGTAAAGAAAGCAGTACGCGTGAGCTGGAATAGCCGTTCCAAACTATATCTCTACCACCTTGTGACCCAGGACAAGGTACTTCATCTCGTGTGTCTCTGTCACCTCACCTTCTAATTAGAATACAAAGTGGACATACCTTATTGGCTACTTATAAGCATTAAATGACCTGACACAGACAAAACAATCAGAAAATGCCAGAATTACAATTGGCCTTCTATAACGTGCATCATGAGATCTTAGCATGCCTTGTGTGGCACCGTAGCAGATGGTCCATCTGTGTGTGGAAGCGAAGAAACCAGGGCTTCAGGTATCAGTAGGGAACCTGAACAGAAAGCACCCTTGGAAGGTTCTGGTTGACTTCTCATCCACACTAATACAGTAAGCCTCTCCCCCTAATCTGCAGTTTCACTTTTGAAGGTTTCAGTCATCCTTGGTCAACCTGGTCCAGACGCAATAAACTGAAAATGCTATGGGGCGGGGAGAATTCACAAGTTTTCAGTCGCATGCCCGTCTGAATGTCGTGATGAAACTGTGTACGCTCCTGATCCACCCTGCCCGGGATGAGTCAGCGGTTTACTCAGCAGATCCACGCTGTAAAATCCACCTGCCCGTTAGTTCCTTAGTTACCCCCTGGGTTGGGAGACTGGATACGGTGCTATCTATCACAGTGCCTGTCTTCAAGTAATCCCAACTCAGCTTGCCACACTAACTATTCTATTTTATTGTTTATTGCTGCTGGTCTCTGGCTATGCCTAACTTATAAATGAAACGTCATCCCAGGTTATGTGCATAAGAACAAAGCGCACATGTCGGTCCATTGAGCCATGCCTGCAGTTTTTGCCGTGTTCTGGGATCTTAAAGTATGTCTCCTGAAGGTAATGGGGAATGCTGTATGACCTGAAGGAAAGCTTTCTTAGTTTAAAACACTTGCCTCCACCTGCCATAAAAAAAATATCTGGTGATGCAGAAATAGATTTGGAGTTGAAGACAGGGTTCCCTAAGACATACATTAGAAAGATGAGGAGCCGGAGGGAGAATGAGCTAGTACAGAACATGACAAGGTCCTGACTCTGGCTATTACCCTTAAAAGCAAACTGCCAAGAAGGGCAAATGGCTGTGGACTCTGATAAGTTAGGCCTTAGTTATCGGAGCGTTCCCTCGCACAAACCCAGGAGGACGTCACTATGTGAGCTTGACTGAGTACTGTCACACAGCTTGCTGCAACCGTGTTTAAATTCAGCCTTGAGGGTTGACACACACCTTTCTAGGCCCAGGTTTTTCCAGCCCAGGCAGCTGAACAGGGAGGAGAAGTTGAAGCCAGTTCAGAGCTACCCTTTGTAGACAAAAATAATCCCACTGGCAGAGCCCAGCATGGAAGGAAGTGGGTGACTTCTTCTAGAAAGACAGCAAGCCCGTTTACTTACTGCTGGGACAGGGAAAACACCCTCAGACATATTCTGCCTCCCTTCTCTTCTCCTCAGGGGAAAGAAATTTCTAGGCCAAAGCAAAGGAAGAAAGGGGAGCTTCTAAGTATCCCCACATCCCAGAGACAGCATGATCCTGGAGACAGGATGCTGTCTGCCTCATTGCTAATCGTTGTACACTGTTTCTCGAGCTGTTCTGAGAAGCCAGGAGCATTTCAGGGAAGTGTCTCACTGGAGAGAAGAGAAACAAAGCAGGGACTGTCCCCCTTGAAACAGAGGACAGACAGCAGAGCTCATTGGATCTGAGTTTATTGTCTTGACTTCCTCCCAGCCAGAGCCGTTGATAAGGACCAAGGGTGACAGAGTGCTGGGTACATTTCCTATTCCCTTCTTCACTATGTCTATAAAGTGAGCTAAGGCCATGCTGGCCATCTGACTCATTGAACCAGAAGAGGCAGTCACAACAGACGCTCTTATGAACCCCCAAATATACTCTGGCCTTCACATTTCCAGGGGCGGGAGTCTAGATAGCACAAGGAATTTCCAAAGCCCACAGGCCTGCCTCTGCCAGCAAGAAAAGAAAGGATCTAGTAGCAATTATTCCTAGGGGCAGTCCCTCTGTGGATTCTCTGGATCTATTATCTATTGCCTATTGTTTTTTCTGGTATTGTTACCCACAGATTGAGAGGAGGACGTGAGGAAGAGCCCAGGCTTCTTCAAGACAGCAGGTTGACAAGCATTAAGGCAGAACTGAAATCTAGATCTTTGTGTCTTGGAGTCCTGTGATCCCTGCATTCACACACACATGCTCACACCTTTCTACATAATTAAAACATAATAGAAATAACATCTGTTTGTAAACAGTGGGGACTGACTCAGCAGTTAGAAGCTTGCAAAAGACCTCCAACTCCAAAGACTCCAAAGCCCTCTTCTGGGATTCAAGGCACCTCAATTCACATATACGTGCCCACAGACAGTCAAGCGCATACATATACACATTCATTTTAGAATGATGTAACGAAATTTTTTTTTTTATTAAAGAAGAGAAGGCCTGTGTTTTCTCCTCTTGAGCCTGGCCACATTGTCCCCACCTCCAGACTGCTGCATGCAGTAGACCCTGCCCAGCTGTTTACGGTCCAGCACACACTTCCTGAGAACACGCGCCACTGCACAGTTTGGTAACTGTAATGCAGGAAGGCACATGATGCTGTGACTTTGCTCCAATGGTTTTCACATGTAAAAGTAGGAACCATGCTAAAATCTATTAGCGCTATGAGTCTTTATATGTAAATCATTTATAGCTCTCTCTGTCACCTAGCATTATTTACCATTATCTCTAATTGTTGTCATCTGTTATAATGGGGACAGAAGTAGATTGAGATCTTCACCTGTCAGTAACCTTGAACTTGAGACCTGAAGACTGAGCAGAAGCTGATTGGATGGTCACTGAGAGAGAAACCAGGCACTTCACCCACAGACTGATTGCTTCTGCCCCAGGGAGGAACAAGACAGAACAGGAGGGCATAACACTCTTTGATCATGGAAGATATGTAAACTTCATTGTCAGGTTACTTGGCTCTTCTCTTTATGTTTGAGAACGAGACTGGCACGAGATAATTTGAATTTTAAACACAAAATTTCAATCTGAGCCTCAAAGTAGATTGCTTGGCAGGACCTGTGTGTTCCTGGGGTCCGAATCTCCTCCACCATAATAGTCAGCCCAGTCATCCTGCCCCTTCACACTCTCTCTCTCCAGCAGTGTGTATAAGAGTCCAATACAAGAACCTGTGCAGATGCTTTCTCTCTCTCTGTCTCTCTCTCTCTGTCTCTCTCTCTCTCTGTCTCTCTGTCTCTCTCTC